AAAATATATATAAACATATAAAACATAAAGATATCAAAAACATAAAAATATATAAAAACATATAAAAACAAATAAAATACATAAACATAAAAGCTATATAAGAACAGATATAAAAACACAAAATATAATATTTATAGTAATGAAAAAATACATTAATTATTGAAAATCACTTTGTTAAAATATTGGGTTTGAAAATAAATGTGTGTATATGTATTTGTGTGCATATGTATTGATTGAATGTGTGTGTCTATGTCTATACATAAGTGTGATCTTTCAAAAAGAAATATTGCATCAACATAATTTGAACATTAAATTCACACAAGATGAAACCAAACTTTAATAGCTGAAGTATAGAAATTCCCTTTAAGCTTGAAATCTATCAGATATATATATATATAGTTTTGTTTAAAAGATATTTTTTGAAAGAATGTTTTTCAGTCTAGCCAAATTCATCTGTATTCTTCTTTTTCACTCCAACACCTTTATACCTGACTATCCCACATTGGGACAACAGAAAATCTATCCAGAATGGTCGTTATAAAAAATAAGAGCCTGAATGCAAATTTCCATCGCTAAACAAGAAATCAAGTCACTTTCCAGATATTTTTGTCTTTGTGGATTATTTTCTCTTTTAATCAAAGTATCATTCCCTATGTCAAAATTGTGGTCAGTTTTGTTACGGCAAACATCCAATGTATTTTGTGTGTTGTTTTTTAAAATGTCCATTTGTGTTCATATAGTCTTTTTCTTAAACTTCTTAAGGTTTCTCCAATATATTCTTTCTGGTAATTCTTGCAGTTGACAGAATAAATTCCTCCTTCAAGTTTTGCCTTGTTTTGTTTTTTTTATTGATTAAGTCTTTGATTTATTTATATGTAGTTGTGACAAATTTTATGTTGAGTTTAGATGAATTCTTTTCAGTTGTATTTGAGATAGAGTTAGTGGATAGAATAACTTATTTTTTGATTTGTTGGGTTTATCAGGAAGGACAGCTCTTCTATTTTGGAATATTTTATTAGCCTTTTGTTTCTCATTGAAAATGAAATAGTTATGGTATTGAAGGGTCTTGAAAGAATTTTCAATATTTTTCTCTGTTTCATATAGATACTGAGGGCTCAAAATTCTAAGTACTTTTAAGTAGAACACAATGATCATTTCAGATTTTATTTTGTTGTTATTTTGGGAAAAGAAATTTTTTAGGTCATTTTTATTAGTTGATTTTCAGTTGATATTAAGTTTTATGCTGTTGTCAACTCACTTTAATGTGATGTCTAAAAAGGTAACGTATTGTTTTTATCTATTTCGTATGTAAATTTGTTTAGTTTATCTACAGGATCTGGTAAGTTAGTATCACGGGGATATATTAATAGAGCATCATCAATATATCGGGACTAAGTTGATTGTTTAGGTAAAATGTTTTGAGAAGAACCAGACTCAATTCAAAGAAAATACATGGCATCAATTCACTGAAAGGCGATCTCATTGGTAATTCAAATATTTGTTTGCAAAAATTGTTATTGAATGTGAAATAGCATCGATTGATGATGAGATGGAATATTTTTATTATTTTAGCCAGTCGACTTTTAGGGTCAAGGCTTTTGATATGTCTCGAGACTTGTCTTGCTGAAATGATATTACTGAGATTTATGCTCAGTGAGATGTAGGAAGTAGAGGAGGAGATTGTCTTTGTCCTCTAACATTGAATTTAAGACAAAGAGCTTTGCCTTGTCTGTGAAGGAGGATATTTTTATTACAGTCACTTTTCCTCTGTTCATAATTTAGTTGGTGACCTTCCAGAATTCACAAAAGCCAGTCTGTTTATTTTCAACCTTGGCCCGGATGAGATCATGTGTAGTTGCATTTTGCATTTTCCAGGACTCTCTAACAGCAATTACGTGTGGTTCTGAAAGAAGTAAGGGCCAGACTACACTGCTTCTTGTGATAGATTTTGAAGTCATGGTACCTGTGAGCTATGGCTGCATTGCATTCAATTCAGTTCTATATATATATATATATATATATATATATATTAGTTAAAGAGAATGGTTAGAGAATGTCTGTTAAGCCTTTGAGTGAGTTTCTTCTGATGCTAAATGACAACACTTTACCCAAAAAAGGCTTCTTTTCAAAATACTAATATTGCATCCCATTTATCTTGTCCTTTGGGAGATTGTGTCTCTGCTAATAATAAAAAAAAAAACATCAGAATATATTGCTTACACCCCCAAAATTTCTCTCTCGAATATTGATCTGTCAACATTCAGATCACAAAGCAATACATTAATATAAGACACAAATCCATGACACTTCTTCTAATTCCATCAAATTTTGGGTGACAATATGCCAGTATTTTGTTGACCCAACTGCAAAAAATATTAAAATTTCTGTAAGCCCTTCACATCAAAGTTCAGCAACTCAGTATCAGTAAAATATTTTTCAATCTAAGAATACATTTGTTCCAATGCATTTGAGGTGCAAGGTCACTTTTGCCAAATGACACTAACATCTATTCCATAGCATGTGAACACAAGTTCATTGCAAACTTTGTTAACATGCATGCTAAACTGGTTATCTATTGACATTCTACTTTCTTTTCTTGAAACTTGACTGAAATCCTCTCTCTGTTGTATTTAAAACATGTTTAAGCATAAGATTTTAATAGAATCATATCTAAACAAATGAATGTTGCCTACGCAGAATCCAATCAAATATGTAGAATAAAAATTAACTAAAAAGGTTTGTCTGTTTAATTTTATATTACATTTTTCCCAATTTACAAATATATTGTTGGACATGCAGATAAAATTTCTGGAGAAACAGTCTACAAGTCATTTTTTTGATTGAGTATTTTTGACCATCTCAGTGATCATCATGAACCATTCTGGGTTTTATATATATTATATATATATATATATATATATATATATATATATATATATATATATATATATATATATACAGGGTGGGATGAATAAATTGTCATCTAAATTATATAAAAATGGAAATAACACAGACATCTCATTTTTACACAATATATCTTCAAATATGAAAGAGTAAATTTATTTAATAAAATCACCATTGGTTTCAACCACAGCCTCCAGACAACTTCAGAATTTCCTGCATATCTTCTGGACGGTCTCCTTTTTTAAGTTGGTGATTCTTGCCATAATCCTTGCCTTCAGTTCATCTTTGTTGCTCTATGCAAGGATTTTTGTTGGTCTCTCACTTAACTGTACCCCACTTATATTAATCAAAGGGGTTGCAGTCTGGGGAATTTGGTGGCCAGATTTAAAGTCATGATATGGTCACACAAATTGTCTGAAAGTCATGACTGGGTTTTTTTGCTTGGGTAGCATGGTTCAGAATTCTGTTGCCAGACATAGGGTCTTTCAGCAGCAACCTACTCAAGATACTTGTTGCAGCACCACCCGATCAAGGCACTTATTGATTCTAAGGCCCTCACCAACAAATCTGGAAGTTCTTTTATTAAAGAATGATCTTATCAGAACAATGAGTGTAATTACCATTATATTCATCCAACTATTCCCAAATCCTCTGCAGTGTCCTTTGTATTGGAGCTTCTGGCATGAATACCGTACAGCATGTGATTTCCAAATTTCTGGTGGACTGAATCATGGTGGTCTTTTTCTTACAGATGGTGCCCAACTGACCCTGCTATACTTTGAAGTCAACAAAATCAAAAACAAATAATGCACATGCACAAAATTAAAAGTATATAATGGTACCCTGTATATATATATATATATATATATATATATATATATATATACACATATAAGTGGACACTGAAGTCAACACCAATCAGATTGATTATATATATATATATATATATATATATATATATTACAAATTAAACTAATCATTTTCACAGATTTTCTGTAAATTTGTTTTGCTCATGCTAAGTCTTAAAAGAAAATACTACATAAAATTCATAATTTTTTATTCATAACATGGAATGTGTTAAAATTATTTAACATTTTAACAAGAAAAATCTCAATTTGATGTTAAAAATTGCTGCACAACATTGTTAATTTATTTAAGATTGAATGATCTCTAATTTGTATTTAGATACATGTATTTATTTTCAATCTTTCTACTTGAATTGTTCACCTATATTGCATATGATCCATTATTGTACATAATTAGGTTACAATAAAATTTGTATTTTATATGAATACTACTTTATGAAAATTGAGATGTAGTAGAGTAGAGGGCACTGTATTATAGATTGGGGTAGATTTATAGATTCAGTGGGGGCACCACAAGACCCTTGAAACTGGCCTGGGTGTAGTCATTTTGTTTTCTCAAGATGAGCCAAATTAAGCATTTATGGGATATGGTGGCAAGGTCTATTTTTATATAGGATCATATGCCTCCAAAAATTAAGAAGCTGTGAACTTTTATCAAGATGATACGACTTAACATTACACCAGAGGCCTTCCAACTATTTGCAGAATCAATGCTATGTCAAGTTGCTGCAAATTAAACACTATTCGATTCTTTTGGCACATCAGTGTAGTTACAACACACATGACTTAATGATGTAAAGATCTCTTTATTTTATGAGAAAATAGAAACAAAAGTAAATTATTATTATTTTAATGATACTGAGAATACCATGGACCTAACATTTGAGCAGTGATGAAGTTTTAGAGAAAATGGAAACAAAAAGGACAATTATGTTTAACATGAGAAAGAAAAAGTTGAAATTTCTAGGGTACATAATGAAAAAAGAGGGCTTGGGAAATTTGATATTCACAGGACTTATTGAGGAAAACAGTGTATAACAAGCTTGCATAAATGGATGGCAGAACAGGGTTTATGAGAAATAAGAAAAAAATCAAAATTTACTAAAAGCTACAAAGAACCGGAAATAGTGTAGGGCCATGATCACCAATATTCTGAAAGGACAATATAAAAGAAGACGAATGTTTTATTCTCTGTATACACTCTTTCATGGGGAATACGTATAAATAAATTTACTGCCAATAAGTACAATAAAATAAATATAAGAACAGTTTCATTATACTTGTATACATAAATATGAGCAGATAGATAGATAGATAGATAAGCATACAAATGCTCATTATCTATACAGTATTTTATTAGAATATATTCAGATGTTTGAAAAGCAATTATACATTTCACTGCTATGAATTATGGGTTAATCAATCAAAGCAGAAGGTTGAATGGTAGGAAAATGTGTTTACAATTAGTTTATCATTTCTTCTATTGGACAGTCTGTCATTTTAGAGTTTAATTGAGAAAAGATGGAAGTTAGGTTCCTAATGAACTTTTGATTGAGAGCTGAACACAACATTCCACTATCAATAGCAGTCTTTGAATGGCAACCTTCTTTTTTTTTGCATTGCGTTGTTACAGGTGATGAAAGGTGGATTTGTCATTTCAACAGAAAATTAATAAAATAGCAGTTATTACAAGAAACCAATGCCAACAACAAAACAAGGTGTCTATCCAGAGAAAAGGATTTCTGTATCATTATGTCTGGTGGAATATAAAATCTGTTGTCAATTGTGTTGCTGGAACATGGAAGGATTGTTGCAATCTTTCTACCCAGATTCTTGTTGCTATCTGAGTGCCTGGATTCCAAACATTTAACAACAACAACAAAAAATCTTTTAAATGCAATGGAGGAAAAATAGAAGCAGAACGTCACTTAAAATAATATTTATATATTTTTTCAGATATATGTAGTGTATATATGAAGTGTTCAATTTTCCTTGCAGTGAACTGTTCTTAGAGTGGTGTGAAATGTATGGAGAGACTTTCTTTATGACAGCTAGTCTAATGTGTTTGTGAGTTTGTAGATAAGAGCTTAGTCGGCAACTGCTGCCTGCCATCTCTTCCCTTGTGTGCATGTGTGTAGGGTGTGCGTGTATGTGGGTGTATGCATGTGTATGTATATATAGATCAAACTGGCCTCTTAAATTGTTTTGAGTATGGTTCTATTTTTATATCCCTAAGTGAGATCCAAAATCTAATTTCACATAGCAGTATGAACTTTTAGAATAAAAGGTTTTCATTGGTTAGAAAATAATTCCACAATTTGCTTGAGAGGAAAATGGGGTTGTTATTGTTTAAAAGGTCCCAAAATAACATGTGGTAGGTCTACAACTACATCCACATATTTTGGCAGTATTTATCATTGTAATTATTGTTTATCAAACAAGCCTTCTGATGGTATTTTATTGTTAAAAAAAAATATATATATAGGATTTAATTCCTATAGGACCATCCTTTCAGATATTTATTGGCAGCAACTTGATCAGGTAAACACAGAATTTTATAAAAAACATACCCTGCTTTAATAAAATGAAAAGGTGTTATTCTCTAGTATAACAAAACAAGGACAATCTCTGCAAAACACCCCCACCCACCAAAAAAAAGTACAATCATTAGGATTCAGAGTTTTTCTATATCCTTCATACATGCCAAATTTAGAACCAACAGATTGTCATTTGTTTCAATCACTAGAACATTTCATAAATGGCAGAACATTTAGAAACAAAGAAGTTGAAAACAATCTTTCAAACTTTTGAGAAGGAAGAACCCAGATTTCTTTAAGTGTGAAATTATAAATGTGCATTCTCGTTGGGAAGCAGTTATTCAAAATGCAGATGACTACATTTTTGATAAATTATATTTAAAAAGAATTTACTTTTGTTTTTATATCCTTATCGGCAAAATTTAATTACTTTCCAAACATTCTAATATAGCTAGTAAATTTATTTCTCTATACTTTCTATCTAATAAATAGATAGATAGATAGATAGATAGATAGATAGATAGATAGATATGTTTAGAGATTATGTATATACTGATTTTATTAGAATATATATTCAGTTGATTCATCTGTCTGAATTTTCTATCTGTTATATTATTTTTATTTTATTTTTTCTAAATACAAAAAGATCTTAAAAAAGAACATAAGAAAACATGAAAACAGTATGCTGACTGGAAAAATTGTAAGTTTGAAAGAAGGTAGAGACTGCTTGAACCATGACAGTGTTGAGATCAGCAATAGGGTCACTGAAAATTTCAAATTTCAAAACAATATCCTGAAGACCACTATTTCCAATCCAGCAAAACAAAGAAAGTAATACTCATAGTCAGTGGAACATGGGAATGTTCCAAAGTCTCTTGCAAAGACACTGGCATAAAGATCACAAAAAAAATTGATTCAGGATACACTATTGAAGTGAGCATGTATAATGAGGTGAGTGCATAAAATTCACCAAAACTTGTCGTCTCTCAATCTGTAGAAAACATCTCTGAACTTTGATAAACAATATAACAATAACTAAAATATATGACTTTAAGTGTACTCCTAGGTTGTTATCTCAGTCCCAGACTTTTACCATCAAAACAGTTAAATGTAACCACCTCTTTTACTCCAATAGCTTCTTGAACTTCCCAACAGTGGAACTCCCTTCTTCTTACTTGTTTCCATGATAATTATAATCTTCAAAAATTTAAATGTAATGTTAATCAACATCTTCTGATGCTTTGATCTTGATCCCTCTCCTTCTCTTTATCCTTTCTTCAAACACCCCACTTTAGTTTTACTTTTGCTCTTTGTAAGCCCTTGAGTGCTAGTGGCACTCTCGCATTGCTTATATAATAATAATATGAACATCCAGTCACACTGTATCCTTGAGGCCATTAAGCCATACATCACATTTGCTGAGAAAAAACAAGACAATGCTTCCTTATCAATGTGGCTGCTCCTGGTGACTATAATATCATGACCAAAGAAATTGGAAAGCTTAAAAATTACACTAACCCCAGAATTGAATTATTCCTGCAGTTATCATTTGAGCATTGGAATCTATACCACTGAAACTTAAAGACCTATTAAGAAAATCAGAATAAAGCCTAGCACCCCATTTTCAGAAGTCTGAGTTTGACTCAGCAAATATTCTCTGGAAGGTGGTATCTGTTTGAGGTTGTATGACTTGATGGAGAACACCTATATTTCAAAAGCTCAATTTGAAAACTAAAAACTGTACAGAAGAAGAAATAATAAAAAAGAAGAATAGAACTGACATCAACCAGAAATGGTACAAGCCTGAGAAGGTGATTAGCAATGACAAAGTCAAAATCTTATGGGATTTCAACATCTAAAAAAACTCCATCCTTGAGGCCATCAAATCAGACATCGCCATCATTGACAAAGAAACAAGAAAATACCTCCTCATTGATCTGGCTGTTCTTGATGACCCTAATATCAAGGTCAAAGAAATTGACAAGCTCACAAAATTCAGTAACCGTCAGATTCAAGTGGCAAAAACGTGAGACATTCGAGACACTAGTGTCTCCATATTGAGAAAATTGTTCGAAAATAATTATTTAAAAACATTTAGTTGAAAAACATTTATTCAAATTGTAAATTTTTTTAATGAAAATTAATCAAAAGGACAATTATACTAAATGATAATTATTCAAAATAACTGTTTGAAATATGTATGTGGTCTTGTTTTGAGAGAGTCAATGCTGATTTACCAAGAAATAATAACATTTTTGTAAGATAGCGTACAGCTTTTTTTGCTGCAAATGGCATCCCATCATCCAACAATATGAAATTCTTAGATGCTCTTAAAAGAGAATAGGACTTGCAAGAAATTCATATTGAAAAAGTAAGACCAGGTTGCCAAAATATCACGAGAGCCAAGAAATACCTTAACATAAATGGAAAACTTAAAAATTTAGTGGCATCCTTTAATGAGTACTCTTCAGTAGTTGACTATTTGCATGCAGTATCATATAACTTAAGATTATGATTTCTTACTAAATTATTTTATTAATGATATTTGTATTTTGAATAATTATCATTTGTGTATTTCCTCTTTTAATTTTTATATTTTTTATTTCAATAAAGAATTTTGCATTTCAAATAATTATCATTTAGTATAATTGTCCTTTCGATTAATTTTCATTCAAACAATTTACAATTCAAATAAATGTTTTCTTGAATAATTACTTTTGAGCAATTATTTTTGAACAATGTTCATAGATGTCAATGACACGTTTGGGTCCATAGCACTGAAATGAATGTCTTATATTGAGCAAATCAAAATAAAGCCTTCCTTTCAGATGACATAAACATTTAATTCTGTTTTAATGATAGATTTTTTATAGGTTCAAGAAAGACAAATTGGCAGCTCATTTAAAAAAAAATAACATTCAATCTGTTGTTAACTGGAGCAAGAAATGGCTTATTAAATTTAAGGCTTCCAAAATGAAACTACCCTCTTTTAAAGTTATAGAGAACCTTTTTTACCTTCCATCAACATGGCCAAGAATAATCTCCAGGAGAGTACTCATTGCACTTTTTTGGTCTAATATTGTCCTCTGATATGAATTGGAATGTTTATATCTAGTCAATTTCTAGGTCTGTTGCAAGGAAAGTTGATTCACTGTGTTGGGCTAGACATTTTTTTTCATCTCAATCTATCTTACACCTTTATAAGTCTACCATTTGTTTATGCATGATTAGTGTCACTACATGTTGTCTGAGGTTTCTGCTATGCATCTTGCGATTCAAGACAAAATTGAAAGAAGTGTCTGCACTATTATCAGTCCAACCAGGCATCTCAGCTTCAATCACTTTCCCACTGCTTTAACATTAATTCCATGTGCTTACTCTACAATTATTTTCAAAGCTATTGTTCTAATGAGCTTTCTTGTTTGATATTTTGATTTTATGAATTTAAGCATAATACTAGATTGGCAGAGAGGTCTCATCATTCTATTGAAATTACTAAATATAACTAAGTTATATTCTAATAATTTCTTCTTTTATCTGTGGGTCTCTATTCCAGCTTGCTTTTCTATTAACTACAATCTACAAAAAATTAATTGCAATGTCAAACGTCATCTTCGTGAATTTTTTTGTTTGTTGTCCTTTCTCATTAGCAACATTTTCTCAGTTTCCTTCATTGTCAAATCTCCTCAGTAACCCCTTGCATCTTATTAGCTTTATTCCCTTCTTTAAGGGGTGGAAGGATTAAAATAAAAATTTTCAACACTTCAGAAGTCTGTGTTAGTTGGCACTGCAAATATTCTGTGACAGCTACAACCTGCCCAATATTTTGAGACAATAGAGAACACCTATATTGCAAAATCTCTGGTTGAAAATGTAAATCTTAACAAATTGTGTAATGAAGGTTATTTTGAACAGTCAGGCTTCTAAATCCTTTCACATTAATATGGCAGTCCCCCAGGGCTCTCACTTATTTCTCATCTTCATCAACAACCTCCGCTAACATCATCAGTTCCCTCCTAGGTATTTATGCTGATGGCACAACTATTTACTCCTGTCTTAATAGTAAGTTTGATAGGTTCAACAAAGTAAAACTGACAGCTGCTCAAGCATGACCTCCAGTCAGTTGTTAACCGGTGCAAGGAATATCTTGTAAATTTTGTGCCTCCAAAATGAAATTGTTATCTTTTAACAACCATAGAGAACATTTTTGCCTTCCATTGGTATGGCTGATGCTAACTTCCAGGAGGATAATTCATTCCAGATTCTTGGCCTAATGTTTTCCATTAACATGAAATGGAATAACTATATTGAATCACTTGCTGGGTGTATTTTCTAGGAAAGTTAGTTCCCTGTGTTGGGCCAGAAAATTTTTTTTTTTTTTTATCAGAATCCATCTTGCACATTTATTGCTGCCATATATTGTCTGGTCTTTCTGCTATGTACCTCAAGACTCTTGACAAAATCCAAAGAAGGGTTTAATATTATTGGTCCTGACCTGGCATCCTGACTTCAGTCACTTTCCCATGGACATGACATGGCTCCCTTCACTTTTTCTATAAATATTTTCATGGCAGTGGTTCTCATGAGCTTCCCTCTTTGATACCTCAACCATATAAACTGCTAGAATGGCCGATAAGTCTCATTGTTTTAATGGTGAATTAGCTAGATATATATGTAAGTTCTATTCTAATAGTTTCTTTTCTTGTACTCCTTGCCTGTGGAATTCTCTTTCGTTTTCTTATTTCTCTGCTGCTTACTATCTTAAAAAATGTAAACGCAACAACAATCGCCATCTTCTATTCCTTCTCCTCACTAAAACCTTCCCATTCTCTTTCACTCCAAGTAACACCCTGTATCTTAGTGATATTATTACCTTGCTTACAGTAAAATTATAAAAAGAAACAATAATAATTATATTACCTACTAACTAATTAATGTCTACTATTCAAAACAATTTATCCAATCTTAAGATAAAGTTCATAATATTGACCACCATTAGATAAAAGGTACATTTAAGAACCAAGCGCTTGTGATCAGAGAATTGCAGAATTGAAGACAATATATAAATCTAGGTATTAAAAAATGTATTAGTAGCCTTTAGATTATAAGTAAAAGAGAAGGAAGATAGAATTGAACATTATGTAGACATGATTAACAAAAGACTTACTGAATATATGTAGCCGAGTAATAAGTGACTAATTATAGCAGCCAAAAATTGCAACAAGTTTTGAATCAGAAAATCAACAAAAGAAACTAAAATTAAACAAAAAAAAACTATTTGATGTATATTTTCACAAGGTAAGCAAAAACTGCAGCTGCAATAAAAGTCATACAAACTCATACAAAAGCTTCTTCCAGAGAGAAATAGAATCCCTATAAATAGCAGTTCAAAACAAATGTGTAAGAACAAATTATATTAAGGCTAAGCAAGACACAACAGAACAGAAATGTAAATGTCGCCTTTGCAAAGACGGAACTGAAACCCTATAAATAGCAGACCAGAACAAGTGTATTTTAACAAACTATTTTAAGGCTAAGATGATGTAGAGAAA